GTGTTGCATTCTCTTGTATAAAGGGTCACCATGAGTCAGAGCTGACTTGACAGCACCTAATGATCTAGCAACAATGTGCTAATAGGGATTCTGTATGAATGTGAAAACGCAAAATTTCTTACATAATAAACCTTGAGTAAATGAGATTGCAAATATTATTGGAAATTATGTTGATTCTGATGATGACAAAAATTGAGAATTTTGATAATGATGTTCAAGAAACAGTGAAAATTCCTTGAGCACCAAATATTAAAACATGAATAGAAAACTGTATTTCCAGGTCAGAAAAGCATATACTCTGACTTAAGACAGGATTCTGTTCTGATGACTTATCATAAGTTCTGATGTAAGTTGAATACCTCTGTTGTTTTTTTTTCTTTTTAAATTTTCATTATTTCATCTTTAGAAATCTGATTTTTAAACATCTGAGCTTGATAACATCAGCAACTTATGTGCTACAACATTGTATGTAGTACATGTGCAATGTTAAGATGTACTTAAAAAAAAATAACAAAAAAAACACCACAACCAGATTGTCATAGTACATTTGCAACTGAAATACCTGCTAAATTTGAGATTATCTGTACATAATTTCAAAAGCTTTTCTGATAGATTTATATTTGATTAACAGCCAGAAGATTAATTGTATTGATTATTACATCTCTGATCAATAGAGATCACATTTAGGAACAAATCACACTAGAAACAAGTATGTACTTAATTTTTAATAGCATAATCGTCTTAAAATCACTGTCTTCAAAGGGCTTGTCTCGGAGAAGGAATTGCTGTAATAGTTGCTTAGAATTTACTACCATTAGAATATTCATTTATTTCCACAGCAATGTTTCTCAGGATAATAGATGATAAGGTTTCTTTTTCAGATAGTTGTGTGAAAGAGCTATTATACAGTAACAGTAACTTGTTTTCTTTCTTCTTTGTGTAAAATGAACTCCTAGATCTTGTTCTCAGGATTGTTTGGAATAGGAATCAAAAGCATTTGATTCACTAGAGATTAAAATGACATCTACGGATGTTGAAATCCCTGGAATTTCTCTATATACTTACGGTTTACTTTTGTGTTATGTACTCATAGAGATGATTTTTAAATATATCGAGACTCAAATACTTTCAGAATCTCACATTAAATACTAACTCATATAATTTACCATTGCTTTTTAATTTTTTAAGTAGCATTTAACTTCACTCCATTACATATTTCTAAATTGTGCCTGGAAATTTTTTATTCTAAATGTAGTACCTCCAGCATTGTATCTGTTTGTTGAAACATAGTGGCTATTTCATCAGTACCTGGAGCTTTGTTTTATGCAAATTCCTTCAGTGCACCTTTGACTTCTTCCTTAAATACCATCAGTTCTTGATCATATGCTACCTCCTGAAGTGGTACTTCTGTAGTTACTGTCTGTATTCCTTCCACATTCTTTTGATACTTCCTGGATTATTCAGTATTTTGCTCATAGAATCCTTTAGTATTGCAACTTGAGGCTCGAATCTTTTCTTCAATTATTTCAGGTTGGGGAATGCTGAGCGTGTTCTTCCCTTTTGATTTTCTACCTACAGGTCTACACATTTCATTATAATACTTTACTTTGTCTTCTTGAACTGCTTTTTGAAATTTTATGTTCAGATCTTTTACTTCATTCTTTCTTACATTAGCTTTAACTACTCTCAGTTCAGGAGCTCTGGTAGCATAGTGGCTAAAGCACTTGACTGCTAACCAGAAGGCTGGCGGTTCAAACCCACTAGCCACTCCTCGGAAGGAAGGTTGGGCAATTCTACTTCCGTAGTGATACTGCCTCGGAAACCCAAGGAGGGGTTGCTATGAGTCGGGGCCGACTCGACGGCACATAACAACAACAACAACAACAACTCTCAGTTCAAAAGCACATTTCAGAGTCTTCTGACATCCATTTTGTACTTTTCTTTCTTTTTAATGACACTTTGCTTTCTTCATGTATGATGTCCTTGATATCTTCTCATAGCTCATCTGATCTTCAGTCATTGGTGTTCTGTTTGTCAAATATTTTCTTAAGATAGTCTCTAATATCAGGTGGGATATACTGAAGATTGTATTTTGACTCTTGTGGACTTGTCTTAATTTTCTTCAGCTTCAACTTAAACTTACATATGAGCAATTGATGGTCTGTTCGACATTTGGCCACTAGCCTTATTCTAACAGATTATCTTGAGCTTTTTCATGGTCTTTTTGAAAAGATATAGTCAATTGGATTCCTATGTATCCCATCTGATTAGGTCTATGTGAACAGTCACCATTTATGTTGTTGCAAAATGTATTGCAATGAATGAGTTGTTGGTCTTGAAAAATTCTATCATGTGATCTCTCACATCATTTCTATCACCAAGGCCATGTTTTCCAACCACCAGTACTTTTTTTTCCTTCTTCTGACTTTTGCATTCCAATCACAAGTAATTATCACTGCATCTATATTGCATGCATGTTTGATCAATTTCAGACTGTAGAAGTTGGCAAAATTCTTAAATTTCTTTGTCTTTGGCTTTAGTGGCTGGTGCTTAACTTTGAATAATAGCAGCATTAGCTACTAGTTGTTTTGTTGTCATGCCCCAGCCTCATAATCCTTGCTATACCTGAGCCCATTTTTACAGCCACTTTGCCAATCCATCGTGTTGAGGATCTTCACTTTCTTTGCTGACCATCCACTTTTCTAAGCATGATAACCTTCTCTAGGGAGTGGTCCCTTCTGAACACATGACTGAAGTCGGTGAGACAAAGTCTGGTCATTCTCTCTTCCAAGGAGCATTCTGGCTGTACATCATCCAGGACAGATTTGTTCATTCTTCTGGCACTCTATGGACTTTCAGTATTCTTTGCCCACACCACAACTCAAAAGCATCAACTCTTCTTTGGTCTTCCTTATTTATTGTTCAGCTTTCCCATGCATATGAGGCAATTGAAAACACCATGGCTTGAGTCAGGCACACCTTAGCCTTCAAAGTGACATCTTTGCTCTTCAGCACTTTAAAGAGGGCTTTTACAGCAGATTTGCCCAATGCAGTATGTTGTCTGGTTTCTTGACTGCTGTTCCACTGGTGTTGATTATGAAACCAACTAATATGAAATCTTTGACAACTTCAGTCTTTTCTCCATGCATCGTAATGCTGCTTATTGGTCTAGTTGTGAGGATTTTCCTTTTCTTTATGTTGAGGTGTAATCCATACTGCAGACTGTATTCTTCAACCTTCATCAGTAGGTGCCTTCAGTCATCTTCACTTTTAGCAAGCAAGGTTTTGTCCTCTGCATGTCACAGGTTGTTAATGGTTCTTCCTCTAATCCTGATGCCATGCTCTTTTTCATATAGCCCAGCTTCTTGTATTATTTGTTCAGTATACAGATTGAATAAGTATGGTGAAAGCATACAGCTATGACACACTCCCTTCCTGATTTTAAACTATGCAGTGTCTCCTTGTTCTGTTCGAATGACAGCCTCCTGGTCTATGTACAGGTTCCTCGTGAGTACAAGTGAGTACTCTGTAATTCCCATTCTTCCCAACGTTATCCATAATTTGTTATGATCCACACAATTGAATGCTTTTGCACAGTCAATAATGCACAAGTAAGCATCTTTCTAGTATTCTTTGCTTTGAGCCAAGATCCATCTGACATCAGCAGTAATATCCCTTGTTCCATGTCCTCTTCTGAATTCAGCTTGCATTTCTGGAAGTTCCCTGTCAATATACTATTACAACCATTTTTAAAATTATCTTCAGCAAGAGTTTACTTGTGTGTGATATTAATGATATTGTTCAATAATTTCCACTTTCTGTAGAACCACCTTTCTTTGGATTGGGTACAAACATGGATCTCTTCCAATCAGTTGGTCAGCTATCTGTCTTCCAAATAATTTGACATAGAAGAGTAAATGCCTTGGGTGTGGCATTTGTTTCTTGAAACATCTCAATAGGTATTCCGTCAATTCCTGGAGCCTTGTTTTTTGCCAATTCCTTTAGGCAGCTTCAACTTCTTCCTTCAACACCATTGGTTCTTGATGGATATTATCCTATCATTGACAGCATTGTATTTCAGGATAGACCTTGAAGAATTCTTTTTGACAATGTCATGTCATTCCTCTTCAATTTGTCATTACCAGCATAGTAGTCATATGATTGTCTGATTTAAAATGGCCAATATCAGCCCATTTTGGCTCATTAATGACTAGGATACCCATCTTTGTGTATTCCATTTATTTTTAACAGCTTCCAATTTTCCTAGATTCTTATTTGGGCATTCCAGTTTTCAATCATTAAAGGATGTTTGCAGCTGTTTCTTCTCAATTTGAATCATGCCACAATAGCAAATGAAGGTCCTGAAAACAGTACCTGATCCATATCATTAGGGTCATAATGCCTAAGGCATTTGACAGCTAACCAGAAGGCTGGCAGTTCAAACCCACCAGCCACTCCTTGGAAGGAAGATTGGACAATCTACTTTCCTTGTGATACTGTCTCAGAAACCCAAAGTGGGGTCACTATGAGTCGGATCCAACTTGAAGCCAGTGAGTTTGGTTTTTATTTGGTTCTACTTTGGGGAGGCATCTCTTCCCCAATCCTATTCTGAGTACCTTCCAACCTGAGGGACTCATCTTCTGACACTATATCAATGTTTCACTTAGGTTTTCAGTGACCAATTTTTTAAAAAGTAGACATGGCCACATCCTTTTACCTTGTCTGTCTTAGTTAGGCCACCAGTCCTTTGTCAGCTTCTCATACTGTGGTGTCTTATGTGTTGCTGTGATGTTAGAAAATATGCCACTGGTATTTCAAATACCAGCAAAAGCATAGAGACAGGTCTGGAGTAGACAGGTTTCAGCAGAGCTTCCAGACTAAGACACACTGATGTACCTAGACAGGAATGATCAGGTCATTTCCACTTGAGCTGTTTACTCTTCTTAAAATGTGTGAACATTTTCAGAAGCCAAGGTAAGAACCATGTTTTTGTTCTTTAGCTTCCAAATGTGATTTTGAAGCAAACCCCTGTGGTTGGTTTGAAGCAATTACTGGTGACCATTTTGACTGGGTATGGAGCTCCAGAAGTGACCTTTCCACTGATTTTCACCAACAGGCCCCACCTCAAGATCACACTCACCACACAGCTCAAGGTAAGATGCAAGCATAAGCGATCTCCAACTACTTCTGCTTGCTACTGTTCAGCCAAGGTTGGAAAGAGAAAGACACAATTAAGGTTCTGTGTTACTATAGTAGTAGTGCAAGTGAATATTGTTCATTATAATTATGTTGTCTGCTTGGAATAATTCCCTTTTGCATGCTGAGGAGATGGTACATATATATATATAGATAGATAGATACAGACAGATAACAGGTAGGTAGATAGATAGATAGATAGATGTTGTTGTTGTTATGTGCTGTCAAGTTGGATCTGACTCATAGCGACCCCTCCTTGGGTTGCTGAGGCAGTATCACTACAGAAGTAGATTGCCCAACCTTCCCTCCAAGGAGTGACTGGTGGGTTTGAACCACCAGCCTTCTGGTTAGCAATCAAGTGCCTTAGGCACCATGCTACCAGAACTCCCAGATAGATAGATAGATAGATAGATAGATAGACAGATAAATTTACTTGAAGTAACCCAATTTATTGATTGTTTTTGGCACCATTTAGTCCTACCTAGATGTGCATGATACTATCATATTTATAAGAGCAAATCTGAGAAAATAATTTACTTTTTTTAAATGTTGTGTGGTCTTAATTTTACAGTTAAGTTGGACATGGAACTTATTCACTGTAGGGCTAAAAGAGACATGTCTCTTTGGATGGTCCAGTAGGTTAACTAATGATTTGTTTTTGTGTCTCAATAGGGCATTTCATGTTCATTCTGAAGAAAAGCAGCAGCTTCTCACAAATTGCTAAACTCCAGAGCCCCACTTTCAGCCAGACAGGACCTGAATGTACACTTTCTTTCTGGTAAACATTGTAAATGATGACCAGTTAAACTGTTGGATCAGAAAAGGAATTTAGATTTCACATTAGGGGTTATATATTGTTTATGGAATGAGTACAGCTTCATTTCTTTTTCAGTATTGCATTTATGATCTAGCTATTACCTAGGGACACCTTATTAATGATATAATGATGATGTTTTATATATATATCTTCTCTTTCAGTTAATATTTTGTATGTAAATATAGGCACAAATGCTAAAAGCCAAGATAGGGAACATTTAGAAGTTAAGTTTTAGAAGATGGAGACATGCTAGGGAAATGTTTCTTTTCAAGCCTAACATAGCATTTGGAGTCTATAGAAAGGGTTGGAACTATCTTCTTAAGCATAGATGTCCTTTTTAGATGTCTTGCTTTATGTCTTGGAAATAAAGCAGATCTTTATTTTTCTTTTTCTGTGTGTGTTTACATGGAGGATATGTGTGTTAAATTTCATTGGATATGTTTTCCCTAAAGGTTGTCAGTGGCAACTGATACACGAATGCCCATTTTCCCTAGAGGAAAAAGTACAGCACATAAAACATCTCCCTTTTGTCACATACACAATTTGAACATGAGACTTTGGTCAGGGGGTTGCAGGCATCCTTTAGCACTTATTGGAAGTTGTAGGTTGCCCCTGGCTTTACTTTAAAAATAACTATGTCATTAAATGCACACAATTAGCATTTTCCTTTGGAGAGCGCTATCAGTGTTTGTTATGTTCATTTCTTAAGATGAAAGGACTCTTTCTATCCAACACTGGATTATAATTTAATGAAGGCTGCCTTCTCTGCTCTGTACAGAAGTCCTTGAGAAAGGCTCCCAGGGTCCTGAGAGCCAGAGTGTGTACCTCAGCAGATAAGCTTTTGCAAATGGGCAACCACACTTTCTGTAGGGAAAAAGGAGTTGCTCATGATAACTAATTATTGATTGATGACTGAGTGGAAGAGTCTAAAAGTTAAATATTTAGTATAACCTGTAAGTCACTTCCATTTCTTGTGGATGTTCTTTTCCAGGTTTTATAACTATGGCCTGTCGGTCGGAGCAGCTGAACTGCAGTTACATGTGGGAAAAGCCAATGATACCACAGTACTCTGGAGAGTCTTATATAACCAAGGCAACCAGTGGTCAGAGGCCACTATTCACCTTGGACGTCTGACCCAGCCTTTCCATTTGTCACTACATAAAGTCAGTCTTGGCATTTATGATGGAATCTCAGCTATCGATGACATTAAGTTTGAAAACTGTTCTCTCCCTCTTCCTTCCAAGAGCTGTGAAGGGCCAGATCTTTTCTGGTGTAAATACACCAAAGCATGTGTAGAAAAACTTCAGTTATGTGATCTTGTGGATGACTGTGGTGATAATACAGATGAGACCAACTGTGGTAAGTATCTTTGGCCTCTCTTACTCATTTTGATAATGGTGACCTTGAGTGGTTTGCTATTTTCTAGTTATTCACACCATTTGGCATAAAACATAGCTCCAAAGCTGATTTATATTGTGTGTGGTTAATTAAAAATCTCCTTAGTATGTATTAATATGTAGAACACACTAAGAGTCCTTGGTGGTACAAATGGTTAATGCATTCAGTTGCTAACCCAAAGGTTGACTCTGACATGCATGGGGTCACCGTAAGTTGGAATTGACTGGAAGGCAGCTAGTTTTTAAGATAGTACATACTAGAAATACAATCATGAACACAACTACACAGATCCTGCCTTCATGCAGCCTGGAGTCTAATAGGCAGGAAAGATATTATTTAGATAATTACTAAGTAAATATATCATTGTAACCGTGGCAGATGCTACACAGAAAATTACCGTGAGTTCATATAATAAGGGCAATTGACTTTTAGAAATGATTACTTGCCAGAGATCTGATAAATTATAAGTAAAAGCATACATACTAAACCCTCACATGTAACTGCATGGCAGATAGAAGATAGCTAGTATGGTTGGAACAAGCAAATGAAGGGGAAATAAGGTACAAGGCAGGGATGGAGAAGTAGTGGGAAGCCAAATTTAGAGGTCTTTGTAGTATATGTTAAGAAATTTTTTTCTTTATTTGAGAGTTTTTAAGAAGGAGAGTAATATGATAAAATTGGCATATTTAAAATGTCACTGTGGACACAGTGTAATGAATGGATTAGAGCACAGTGGATTCAGGAGTTCCCTTAGTAAGACATGGCAATAATTTATGAGAGAGAGAATGACAACATGAATGATAGTGATGGAGATGGAGGTACTAAACTCTGGGAGACTGTTTAGGATGAGACATTTGGTGATGTTTTGGGCTATAGGGAGTAGCGAGTGAAAGATTAGTCTAGGTCTATCAAGATAAATCCTATGTTTGTACCTTAAAATTATCTAAAATTTTGGACGGATAGTTCCAATGTTTGAAGTTCTAAAGATTATATAGGTCTTACAATTGAATAAATTTAGCTCCAGTTAGTGTCCAATGAAGTTGGTTCTGAAAATGAATCTGATCCTTAGAGGTTTTCTTTGTTTGTTTTCATTCTAACAATCTATCAGGAAACAAAAAAGTTTACAAGATTCAGAAGACTTATATTTCTTGTCTAGAAATATCAATAATTCTTAAATACCAAGCTATGGGTCGGTTAAATCGGAAAGGTAATTATAAGTCAAAGCAGGATCATAAAATCCTTGATGAGTCATAGGAAATAATACATTAAGAAATTTCCATATATGGTATTTCTATGCTATTTATCAGGAGCTCTGGTAGCATAGTGGCTAAGACACTTGCCTGCTAACGAGAAGGCTGGCGGTTCAAACCCACCAGCCATTCCTCGGAAGGAAGGTTGGGCAATCCTACTTCTGTAGTGATACTGCCTCGGAAACCCAAGGAGGTGTCGCTATGAGTCGGGGTCGACTCGACAGCACATAACAACAACAACAACATGCTATTTATCATATTACCATATGATCCAGAAATCCCACTACTAGGTATATACATGGGAGCTCTGGTAGCATAGTGGCTAAGGCACTTGACTGCTAACCAGAAGGCTGGTGGTTCAAACCCACCAGCCACTCCTCGGAAGGAAGGTTGGGCAATCCTACTTCCGTAGTGATACTGCCTTGGAAACCCAAGGAGGGGTCGCTAGGAGTTGGGGCCAACTCGATGACACATAACAACAGCAAAAGGTATATACCCCCACTCATGTGTCAGTATGTGGCTTGTGTGTTGCTATGAGACTGGAGTCTATGCCATCTGTATTTCACATACCAGCTGGGTCACCCATAGTGGATATGTTTCAGTGAAATTTCCAGACAAAGGAAGACTGGGAAGAAGGAAAAGGCCATCTACTTCAGAAAAAAACTGGCTACTGAGGGAGACTTATTAACAACCTGTGATACACAGATGACACAACCTTGCTTGCTGAAAATGAAGATGCCTTGATGTACTTACCGGTGAATGTCAAAATCTACAGTTTTCAGTGTGGATTACACCTCAACATAAAGCAAAAATCCTCACAACTGAACTCATAAGCAACATCATGATAAACAGAAAAAAGAGTGAAGTTGTAAGGGATTTCATTTTACTTAGATCCACAATTAGCACCCATGGAAGCAGTAGTCAGGAATCAGACGTCATATTGCACTAGGAAAATCTGCGACAAAAGACCTCTTTAAAGTGTTGAAGAACAAAGATGTCACTTTTAAGATTAAGGTGCACCTACTCAAGCCATGGTATTTTCAGTAGAGTGATATGCATGTGAAAGCTGGACAATTAATAAGGAATATTGAAGAAGAGTTAATGCCTTTAAATTGTGGTATTGGCAAAGAATGCTGAAAATACCATGGACTGCCCAAAGAATGGACAAATCTTTCCTGGAAGAAGTATAGCTGGAATGCTCCTTAAAAGCAAGAATGACCAGACTTCATCTCACCTATTTTGATCATGTTGTCAGAAGGGACTATTCCTTGGAGAAGGATATCATGCTTGATAATGTGGAGGATCAGAAGAAAAAGGGAAGACCTTCCATGAGATGGAATGACACAGTGATTGCAGTGATCATAGCGAGGGCTTAATCATAGCAAGGATTGTGAAGATGGCACAGGACTGGGCAGTGTTTCGTTCTGTTGTACACAGAGTTGCTGTAAGTCAAAGCTGACTCAGTGGTGCCTAACAATAATAACAATAAGGCATGCATCTTGCAGACATAAAAAAACATGATATGAGCAGATATGTGCACACCCATGTTCATCGCAACACCATTCACAATAGCAAAAAGAGAGAAGCAAGCTAAATGCCCATCAGTAGATGAATCGGTAAACAAATTATAGTACATAAACACAATGGAGTACTATGCAATGTTAACAAACAGCGATGAATCTGCAAAACACTGCTTATAACATGGATGAACCTAGAGGACATTATGCTGACTGAAATTAGTCAATCACAAAGGGACAAATATTGTATGAGATCACGAGGTCACTATCATAAAAAAGAAACTTTTTTTTTTTAGAAAAAGAAATTTCCATGTAAGCCATTTGTAGAGAATTTTGCAAATATATGATTATCTATCTTTCATATTATCAGGAATTTTAAAGTCTGAATTACCATAAATCTCACCAAATTTGCACAACAAATATTAGAGTAAATATTAATAAAATTCATGATTTTGACAGTGATGCTTAGAAGAAGTGTTATTTAAGATAATTTTTATTTTATAAATTTAAGAAGTCTTTTTCATCCTTTTCAACTCCCAAAATTTCACTCCTTAAAAATTGTCAACCTTTTATTTCACCCAAGTTACTATGTGTCTGCCCTCTAGTTAGTGATTAATTCGGGTGAAGGGAAAGGCAGTATACAATAAAGAGGAGGGCAGCACAAAAAAAAGGAGCTCTGGTGGAGTAGTTGATAAGGTACTTGGTTGCTAACCAGAATGTCAGTGGTTTATACCTACCAGCCACTCCATGGAAGGAAGATGCGGTGATCTACTTCCATAAATATTTCAGCCTCGGAAACCCAGTAAGGGTCACTAGGAGTCGGAATCGACTCGATCACAGTGAGCTTGGTTTTTTTGGTTTCAGCACAAAATGATCAAGTCTAAGGAACACACTGAGAGGAGCCCAAGAGCAAAAGGCAACAAAGGTTAAGTGGTATTACATATACAGTACTGTAGGAACAATTTTAAAAAGATATAAAAGGTCCATCAGTTGCTAAAAATAAGTGAATTATCCTTTGAACATCTCAGTTTTAATTTAGAAGAATGGAATTATTGGAGTTTAATGATATTATCAAAATACTTCTTGTGACTATATATTATTTTATGAAAATAGTAGTTGCATTAGACCACAGGTTTCTCTCAAAGCTTTCCATCCAGACATATTACTTATTGCACAGAATGCATTAGACATCCTGAAATCAGTGCTGTATTCCACCCCCCACCCCCCCAGCATTTGTAGGGACATGGTCTGTTTTTAAGGGTGGAGCCACTTGTAATCCCAGTGGAAATGAAGACTGAGTGTGCAGTCAGTATGAAGACAGGCAGTATAAAAATCTGTTGGCTTCTGTGCCAGTTTATGTTAGAAACTCAGCAATTTGACATTCTCCTTCTGCTCCACAGCCAAAGACTGACACCTGGAGAGAACACTGTAGGACCTCAGCTCATGTCACATCTGGGCTTGATGCTCTCAACCCTCATTTGACATTTACTCACTTGGTTCTCTTCACTAGGTCTACACTCGTGTTCTGTGGTTTCAGAAGACAGATGATTTGTTCTTGCCTGGCTGCATTTGTGCACATAGACTTTTATTTATTGTTTCAGAGTATTTGTTCACTTTTTATTTGGAATTCAGTTACTAAGATGAATAATTTATTTGACATATTTTTTTTTAAATAACAACTTATGTAAATGAAGCTAAAAGGTGGAACTACCAGTTAATTCTAAATCTTGTCAGTTCTTCCAAATAATGTCAAGTGCACATTCTATCGCATTTGTTCTAAAACAAATACTTGGTGTCAACAGAATCTGCACATCTTGAAAAATGAATATGGTCCTATGTCAATCTAGAAATTTAGGTGGGATATTCAACATTAATAAGGGCTAGTCAACTCTGAATTGTAAAAAGAATTAGAACTATATAACTCCTGCTCAAAGGAGCTATAATCTTATAAAAGGAAAAGACCCCACAGATGAAAGAAATATTTAAGAACAGGCACGGGGATTGACATTAGGTGTGAATAGAGATAGAAAAAGGAAGTGAGGTGTTTGAGGCACAGAGGGAAGACAGTTCTACAGGGAAAGATTGTTGTTGATGTTAGATGCCATCAGGCAGATCCTAACTCATGGTGACTCCATGTGACAGAGTTCAAGTTCCCCATATGAATGTTCTTGGATGTAACCTTTACAGAAGCCAGTTCTTTCTCCTTTCTAGCTGTTGTGTGTGTGTTTGAAAGGCCAGCCTTTCAGTTAGCTGCTGGGTGCTTAAACCAACAGGGCTCCATGGGGAAGGATTTTAAAAGAAAAAAAAGAAAAAAATAAAACACTGCCATCTGGTAGATTCCCACTCATAGCACCCTACAGGACAGAGAAGAACTGCCCCCATAGACTTTCTAAGGCTGTAAACAGAAGCAGACTGCCTCATCTTTATCCCAGTGAGCCACTAGTGGATTTGAACCACTGATCTTTTGGTTAGCAGCTGAATGCTTTAACTACTGTGTCACCAGAGATCTTTATGGGGAAAAACGGTTGGGGACAAACAAAATGCCATTTTTATTTGAGGAAGGTGGCACTTTAAAGACAATCAGAGGAATGTACCATTAAATTTATATTAATGGATTGAAAATAGAGAAGAAAAATAATAGTGCCTTTGAAGAATCATCATCTAGCACTAGTGTGTAGGAAAAATTGGAACCAAGGGCAGGTTGGAAGCAGAGAGAATAATTTTTCAGTGAGGCCCAGAAAATGCATCCAGATCATCTTGGCTGGTTGTTAAAAATACGGATTCTTGGACTTCACCTCAGATATTAAAAAATTAGTATTTGTTGTGGCCCTTTACCATAGAATCAACAATGTTACCAGGCACCCCAGGTGATTCTGAGAGATTGAGACCAAGGAAAGTATGAATATTCTCAGCTTTGCTTATTAGAATTACCTAGGAAGCCTATTTAAAATCCTGATGTGTGGCCTCACCTCTTGAACCAATTAAATCAATATCTCTGGAGGTGAATTCTTGCTTTGGTGTTTTTGAGTGCCCTCTGTTGATTGCAACATTCAGAAATGGTTGAAATCCACTGAGCCAGTAAGCTGGATGCAATGTGACAGCTGTGGGGTCATGATTAGTTGTCTGGAGTTACGGTAAAAGAAGTATGGAAATGTAGAAGGGCTGGGCACAAAGGCATTTGGAAAGTAATGGCCAAAGCAATTTCACCTTCAGTCCATAAAAGATTGATACTTAATATATATTATCTAGCATTTATTCACTCTTTTTAATGTACCATTTTTAAAATTGAAATGGCAAGCTTTAACATAAGGAAAATATTATTTAGTTTACTTAATCATATTTATTTTAATTATTAATACTAATTGTTTAATGCCAATTTTGCTTTTATTTAATGCCAATTTTCAGCACCTGAACTACAGTGTAACTTTGAAAATGGAATTTGTAACTGGGAACAAGATACAGAAGATGACTTTGATTGGACCAGGAACCAGGGCCCTACTTCAACACTTAATACAGGGCCAATGAAGGATAATACTGTGGGCACAGCTAAAGGACATTATCTCTATATAGAATCTTCAGAGCCACAGGAGTTCCAAAACCGAGCTGCATTACTCAGCCCAATCCTTAATGCCACTGACACAAAGGGCTGCACCTTCCACTTATATTATCACATGTTTGGAAAACACGTTTATAGGCTGGCCATCTACCAGCGAATCTGGAATAACACAAGGGGAGAGTTGCTGTGGCACATATTTGGGAATCAAGGCAACAGATGGATAAGAAAGCACCTAAACCTTTCCAGCATGCAGCCTTTTCAGGTATGGATAATGGGTGTCATCATCTGTATTTGAAATGCATCAGAATGTCCAAAGAACACAAAAGATCACTTGATTCCTGAACTGAAAGCAAATGAAATTTGATCAAAGTTACTTTGACACACATTTATCATTTCATTAAGAGTGCCCCAAATCTAAGTTGTTTTTTTCCTTGACTGCCCCCAATAATATATGATTAAAAGTCTCTGAAGATAAACACATGGCATTGGGAACAGCTGCAGGGCCCTCCAGTTTTAAGCACTCATTGTACTGAAATTAAAAATATGGAAGGAAAAAAAAAAAAAGTGGCACGATCTCTGATATTCTCCAAGAAGCTCAGACTCAGCTCAGACTTTTAAACTGTAAGTGACTTTGAGATTTTCATTTCACTTTTTAATCTTATAGGTAAACAATTGAAATCAGGCAGAATGCTTACTGTGTCCAAAAATCACACAACAGCTCTGGGGCAGAGCTGGTGTTTGAACCCAGGTCTCCTTACTCCTGATGGAATATTCTCTACTCTAAATCTCACCTGTTTTCTACTGAAAGCCCAACTTGAAATAGCAAACTCAAATGCTTGTGTGGCTTTTACAGGTTTTTAAACACATATATCATCTATTTGATCCTATTAGTATTTCAGTTTCCTGAAGTGGGTAAATTGGAGATAAGAATTAAAAAGCTCAGAGAGGTTACTGTTTATCCCTGGCCAAAAAACTGATGAAGAGCAAAACTAGAACTTTAAGAGTGTTAAAGTTCTAGTTCTAGCAAAACTAGAACTTTAAAACTTTGGTTTTAAAGTGTGTTGTTTGTGCTCTTTTTATTTTTGATTATAAATTATTATTTATATATTCTAGATACAAGTCTTTTATCAGATGTATGCCTTGCAAATAGTTTCTCCCAGTCTGCAATTTGTCTTTTCATTCTCATAATAGTGTCTTTTGAAGAGCAGATTTTTGAGAAAATGATGAGGTCAACTTTTGGATCTTTTGACTGATGATCACAGATTTTATGGATCATGCTTTTGGTATCCTATCTAACAAAGCATTGTCTAACAAAGTCTCAAAAGTTTTCCTTTTCTTTCTCTCCTGTCCTCTTTGGGAATTGAATTACATGCAAATTAGGCTTTTGATGATTTACTGATGTTCTGTTTGGTTGATTTTTTTTTTAAATTTTGTTTTGATTTGGGTGAAGATTTACAGAGTAAATTCACTTTTCATACAGCAGTTCACATATAATTTGTCTCATGTCATTGACCAAAATTTACAATGCAACAGCTCCCCTCCCACTTCCTCCCCATAGTTACCTCTTCCCAGTGTCCATCCCTCCGTACTCTTCTGCGCCCTGAGCTGTCTCGCTCGGCATAAGCAGCCCTTCCTTCTCCCATGATTGTTCTCTCCAGGGCGTGTGTCTACTTGAGGTAAATGTTCAACTCACCTGCCTGTACTTTGTTTGGCTGGAAACCACAGGTGTGGGTTCAA